GTCCATCTCAAATCATTTCAAAATAAAAAGTTAAAAAACAACAATAAAGGAAGCAACCAATCCAACGAGATGTGTGTCTTCCGCATAAATGGAGATTCTGACACAGAGTCCCATCAGACTGTAAGGCAACTGCTTCAGGTGGGCCGTCTCACCCAGCGCGTCCCTTGGAAACACATTCGCTGGAAATAAGGCAGCTAGAATAAATGTCACATTTCTTAGTTTTTACCTGAATTTCTATCAATTCAGATAACTCTTTTGTGGTGATTAAAAGCTGTTTAACTGCTACTTATGTAATAGGAATTTTGTTAGAGTAGGAGGGATGTTGGAAAAAACAATAAAAAATGCAGGGGACATCACTGAGGCCTGGGCAGCTGGCAGATTTTAAAGTCCCCTCGCTGCTGGCTCCTTACTTCAACCTCAGATTTAGTCACCACTAAGGTCAAGAGATTCTTGCTAATCTCTAGTAGTGAACTTGGGGATGAAGAAATGAACCAAGAAACCTATATTATTAGAAGAAAAATGTGTGAAACAACCTTACGTGCATTTATACAGTTGTTACTTTTCCCTGAAGTGTTTTCTCAACAAGTGCTACCGGCTGCTGAAGTCCTCGTCTTCTTGCAATAGGAGAATGAAAGCAAGGGACAGTTTGGAAGGAGCGAGCGACAAAGTTTATTAAAGCGAAAGTTCACTCTTAAAGGGGGTTAAGAGTGGGCACACATCCCAGCGGACTCTGCACCATCATCCCTTTTTCTCTCGTCTGCTCTCTCCTCCTTCCTGATGTTGTCTCTTCTCCTTTTTTCCTTGACCAAATGGGGATGTTGTTTCCTTCCTGCTGTGGATGGGGTTTGGGGGTTCACCTTATGGTTAGGCCCGGATGTGCGGTGGTATCCAAAGCCCGCGGTGAGGTTGGCGGCAAACTGTAACATAGAATGTGTCCTGTGTTGTTTCCGTCATGTTTTTGGTGACAGTTGTGGTTGCCCTTATCTTTGTTATTATTCCAGTATGTTCTCTTACTCAGCATGTCATTTAAGTTGCTTGCTTTCGCATTTTCTCTGCTCACGCCTCACCTTTCTCATGCTCACATTCTGTGACACTTATGGCTCCCCTTGTGCAATGCGTTTTCTTCCTCAGCGCCCCGTTTGTTTACACGGCCCCTTCCGTACTTCCTCTGCTCAATCTCACTTTCCTACCTGCGCTAACATAGAACTAAATTCAGCGTGCAACGGAGCAGTGATGGCAAGTAAAACTGTGGATAGTAAAGTTAAAAACAGATGACATACAGATACACAGATACTTGGATATTTCAGAGCTGACCGAAAGAAGATAAACACTGAATTGGAGTATAAAATATTTCTATTTTACATGAACAAGGTTTAAAACAAATGAAAAAGTACAAATATAAAATATAGAAATTACAAAGGACAACTTATCAACAAGAAACAGATTGTAAGTACAGAACATAAAGTTATAATAAAGTATTTCCCAAAGGTGACTCACCCACAAAACAATTATTATAGTAAAATAATGTGTACATCTTTTTTTTTTTTTTTTGAGACAGAGTCTCACTCTGTTGCCCTGGCTAGAGTGAGTGCTGTGGCGTCAGCCTA